CGCGACTTGTTGGAGATGTACTGGAAGAGCCGGGGCGCGGGTTTGGGCGGCATTTTGCGCGATCGCGAAGCGGACGGTCGTTCGCGGGTATTTGGCGTCAACGAGTAGGCGGCGTAGAGGCGGGGGGAGCGGCTTCAACTGCAGCCGGCGCCCGGCAGCTGCAGGGGAACTGAGGAGCAGAGGGGGTCTGTACTTTACCTGTAGCGGGCCGGCTGGAACTGATGGGCTCAAATTTGCTGCGCTTCTTTTTGGGCCTCGCCGCTGGTGAAATTCTTCCAGGCCTTGTACGGATATGGGCCGCGCAGCACCAAGCCGAAGATATTGGGTTGGGGTCGACTTCGACGGGCCGCTGGCGCTGATGGGCAGCATCGGCTGATGGCTGGAGAAGCGAGGCCTTGTTTAGATTTTAAGTTTTTTCACTCTCTCTCCGTCACATCAAATCTTTAATATATGCACGGAGTATTAAATGTAAATAAAAAAATAACTAATTATATAGTTTGATTGTAAATTACGAAACAAATCTTTTGAGTCTAGTTAGGCCATTATAGAACAATAATTGTCAAATACAAACAAAAATACTACCGTGTCAAATATTGATTTGTTACACCCATCTAAACAAGGACTGAATACGAATAGGACCGCCGCCGGCTGGTGCACGCGTCGCCATCATGATGTCGACATGATTTTCACTCCTGATCCCCGGGCCATGTTTAGATCAACATGATGAATAGTAACACTTTCGTCTTATTTAGTAAATATTGTCCAATCATAGACCAACTAAGCTCAAAAAATTCATCTCGTGATTTTCAACTAAATTGTATAATTAGTTATTTTTTTACTTATATTTAATGCTTCATACAAATAGCTAAAAATTAATGTGACGAAAAGAGAGCGAAAAAACTTAAAATTTGGAGGTGAGCTAAACCAGGCCCCGGTGGCTGCGTTCCATACACAGTGAGCTGATGGTGCTCACTGTGCTGCTCACTGCTTTTCCTGCTGCTGCTCACTGCGCTGAGTTGATGCGCTGAGTTGACGCGCGCCTGCTGCTGCTCACTGCGCCGGAAGACACGATGAGAGAGGGAGATTGAATGAGTGGAGCAGAGTTGTCCACGCGTCGGCCAATTTTTTTTTTTCTATTATGGTATATATACAACAGTTTACGAAGATGGATGGACCATACATAAACGATAAAGTCGTGATCCGGCAGACTCCACTAATTACGTCTATTTCTACTCGAAAATATTCGTTTGCTTCGCACAAGCACATATGAGTTCCAGCGTCCGCCCTGTGATCTTTGCCTCTCGGTTAACGCAATGATGATATTATTTTAAGCGGTCCTATTTTTTCCTATTTTTTTAGTTTTTCCTGTCCTATTTTCTACCTAGATATTGATAAGTTTTTGCCGTTGTCTTTTAAAAAGTGGACTAATAAAATAGTTGTTACTATGGTCCCATTCGCTTCGCTGAAAAAATAAGCCGAAATATTATTTCGGCTGTTCTATTATGAGAGAAAAAGACTGTTCCGGCTAAAAAAATAAGCTGAAAAATAAGCCGAAACACTATTTTATGCAGATAATTAGTAGTGCTATCTAATAACAATATCATAGAGTGTGCCAAGGAATTTTAGGGATAAATTTAGATAAACAATGAATAATAGTGTGGATATAACATAGGTCATGTTCATTTCTCTTATAATTCGTACTTTTCAGCTTGTTTTTTCAACCGGAACAGTATTTTTCTCTCACAACAAAACAGCCGGAACAGTATTTCGGTTTATTTTTTCAGCCAAGCGAACGGAACCACAGTAACAACTATTTTATTGGTCCACTTTTAAAAAGACAACGGTAAAAACTTATCAATATATCTAGGTAGAAAATAGGACAGAAAAAACTAAAAAAAAATTAGTAAAAAGTAGGACCGCTTAAAATAATATCATGACTGCGTTAACCGAGAGGCAAAGATCACAGGGCGGACGCTGGAACTCATATGTGCTTGTGTCAAGTAAACGAATATTTTCGAGTAGAAATAGAGGTAATTAGTGGAGGCTGCCGGACCAGGACTTAATCGTTTATCCATGATACATCCATCTTCGTAAACTGTTGTATATATACCATAATAGAAAAAACAAAGAAATTGGCCGACGCGTTAACAGCTCTGCTCCACTCATTTCATCTCCCTCTCTCATCGTGTCTTCCGGCGCAGTGAGCAGCAGCAGGCGCGCGTCAACTCAACGCAGTGAGCAGCAGCAGCAAAAGCAGCAGCAGCAAAAGCAGTGAGCAGCAGGCGCCAGCCTTCTCCGGCGGCGCCGTGCCTAACTCAGCGCCAGGGCTTATGGCGTCGACGCTCGAGATCTAAGATAAGTTTAAGTCTCTCAAAAGCTAAATATAAATTTTATTAAAAAAATAGTCAAATAGTAAAAAATGCAGACGGCGACGACGGCGATTGGGGTCAAGATTGTCTCCTCTCATCGTAAAGTAATTTGAGTGCTCCTGTACTATACAACAAGAGTGCGTTCCAGTCACGCCTGGCGTACGTGGCTTGTGTCAAAACAAGTCGCGTTGCGTTGCACATGGTTTGCTTGGCTTACGCTGCTAGCCATGCGTCATGGACCTGCAGCCTATTCGGTTGGCTAGTTTGTTTCATTACTAGTTTATAAAGAAATACTGCTGACTGATTTATGTGAGAAAAATACTGTTTTAACTAAAAATTTACGATCATTTATAATAAGCCACAGCGAACAGGCTGCTAGCTAGTGGGGGAGTATACGCTGTTGTGTTGCGGCGATCCGTTCACCGGAAAGGTATGAATAGTGAGATGCCGGTGTGCTAGCACCTTGGTGATGAGCGATTGACAACACGGTGTGCGTGTGACGTATCTCTCGGCAGGTTGTGGTTGTATGTGACAGGTGGAGACAAGGTACATGCGGCGACGAGTGAAAAACGAGGATAGGATGCCGTGCCGAAGAACCGTGGGGGCGGAGAAGGGCGGATCGAGGCTTGCGTTCGAGGGACAGACGATCGTGTGGTGTACGTCTACTGTACCTGGCTACACGGTGGGAGGACGTCGAGGGAGGTTTCCAGATTACGCCACAAAATCCGGAGTTCGCTGATTGAGCCACAAAGCCATGCATCGTACCGGGACGCTGGTGCGGCGTGCGTTGGCCGAAGATGGAAATTCTGGCGATCGCGATACGATTTCGGATGGTCGTGCGGCGACATCGCGAGGATCACATCACGGAGATGGAGGGATCGCGGACATCGCGGAATTTGCCATGGAGGATGTAATTGGAATTTACGCCCCTACGTTGGATTTATTTAGCGTAGGGGGTTATGTGAAAATAGGTCGTGCCACCCTTTGGAGATATAAATATGTGGCACCTAGGGTTGAGAAGGGAGGGACGTTTTGGACTCCCGACGAGTTACTATTCATGCATGAACATTACCCGTGAACAGTACTCGTGCCCCGGGGTTCCACGGTTCAATTTTCCTCTCTCCGGTCTAGCCTAGGGTTTGAATTCTAGTGAGAGGTTTTTGTTGATCTCTCCAATTAAGAGAGGGAGGATGTTCGGGCGGAGGCTAGATGCACTTTTGTAAGTTCAATTAATCAATTTAATCTTTCATCTATAATGATTGATCTTGTGCATCTCGATTTGTTCTTTACAATTCTCGTTAGCATCTGACATAGTCTGCTTGTTTTATTTTTATCTCAAGATCCGTAAGTCAGATTGACGTGATTCCAGTTAGGTTAGTTTCGTAATTTCATCTAGTTTAATCTGACAAATTTTTAGGTCGATCGGAGTTACGGATTTTTGTCCACATCAGGTTTACTAGGTACATAGAGTTCTGTCCAGATTTAAAAAACATGATTTAGTCAGGTTTTGTGTTTAAGGGAAGGGTTATAAATTTTTGGCTTCCGCGACCATTCACCCCCCCTCTGGTCGCTTGTTTCGATCCTTCAATTGGTATCAGAGCCGGTTTAGGTTTTCTATACCTTAATCAGTGCTGAAAGCTATGGCGACCAATGAAAAGTTTGATGTTCGCACTCCATTTTTTGATGGGACTGATTATGATTACTGGAAGGCACGTATGACCAACTATCTCAAAGGCAAGTCGCTGAAGCTATGGAAAATCACACAAAATGCCACATATGTGATTCCAAATTGAGGAACCGATCGACGCCACCGAGATCGAGCTTTTGAAACAAATCATCGCTATTTGTTGCTATTTTCTGTGCTTCTATTTGTAAACTGAATATGATCGGGTTTCTAGTGAAGATCTCGCTTATCAGATCTGGGAGAAACTTAGAAAATATCATGAAGGCTCAAACACTGTGAAAAAATGAAAATTTGAGATTCACCGAAAAGAGTTTGATGCTTTTTGCCAATTGCCTAGTGAGTCTATTGATGACATGTTTGCACGTTTTCAAGTGATTGTTAATAAGATGAAGGCCATGAATAGCAATATGCCTTATGATGATCATGCTAGGGCTCTCAGATTATTACATTCACTTAATGATGAATGGGATATGAAAGTTGAGATGATCGTTGAATCTGTAGGTTATGAGACTCTCACCACAGATGAGCTTTACAGTAAGCTCAAATCAAAAGAGATCGAAATTGTTTCTAAGCGTAAATTGAAAAATCCCACAGCTGCTTCTTCTTCTGACGTTCCAATGGCTTTGGTTTCTGGAAATAAGACTAACACTAATGCTAATCCAAATGTTTCCAGTTTTGCTTTGTCTTCTTTGTGTCATGTTGCGAGATGAGGAGTTGGAGGTGCTAGATGATGATCACTTGTACCGCTCTCCAACAAGTTTAAGCGTGTGTATGATGACAACAGGTGTAATAGAAGAGGCGTTCGGATGGTCGCTTCAACCTGTGGTGAGCGAGGACACTTTGTCTTTGCTGATTGCCCAAACAAGGTGAGAGATCTTTTTGAGCGAGGCAATAACTCCTCTAGGCGCCGGAGAAGTTCAGGAGAGGAAGAAGAAGAAGGATAAGCAATGGAAGAAAGGCGGACAAAAATACTCGACAAGCAAGTCGCTAAGTCGCAAATGTTTTGTTATCTTCTCTTGGGACATTATGTTTCGGTGGCTCGTCAGGACTCAATGATTGATTCCAAGGATGAGACACCCAAGAAGAAGACAGACGGACTTTGCTTCATCACTGACGCAGGCATCAATGGTGGAATATGTACTATGGCCTTGGAGGGTGATGCATCAACCGACAACAACGATGAAACTTCTGATGATGAGGTAGATACTTCTGCAGAACAAAGAATAGCTGATTTAACTGAAATTGTTCATAAGCAAAATAAAGTGTTGGCTAAACTTAAAACTGATTATGATAAAACTTGTGCTGAACTAGCTACTCTCAAAAATGCTGCATCTAATCCTACTGAACCTGATGAATGTGAAGAATGCTCAATTCATATGATTTCGCTTTCTAAATTGCAAACCAAGTATTCTTCCATTGTTGATGATCGAGATAAACTTTATGCTGAACTAAATGAACTTCGTTCTCGGTCGAATTTGCTTGGTACTTGTGTTTCTTGCCCGCTTCTGAAAGTTGACTTGGATAATGCTTTATGCCGGGTAAATTTTTTTGAAGAACACACTTGTCCTGATTTGCCGGATTGTTTGATTTGTCCAACTTTACGATCTGAATTAAATGTTGCTAAATCACATATTGTTGAGTTGGAAAAACACACTTGTCCGGTTCTTCCTTCATGCCTAACTTGTCCTAATTTTGTTGTTGAAAATAATGATTTAAGGGCCAAACTTGCTGATTTGGAAGAAGAAAATAAGCATTTGAGAACTATTCTTGGTTGGTGTTCTATTCGTGAGCCTCAAATTGGTATGGCTATTGCTCAAATTAAATGGGGTGAGCTGTAACAGAACCGACCAAATCATAAGAACGTAAGTACAAAAACAATCACCGAAGCGATCAAATTCCTGTACTTAAGCTCCCATAATCCCGGTAGTCCGGAAATCACGAAGGATTTCAACCAACTCTCGACATACAAACCAAGATCGTAATGATTCAACACAACACATCATTCGTTACGACATTTCACAAGTAGCATTCGGATTACATCCATCAGAGTTCAAATAAAATATTACAAACCAAGTTTGAGTGTGCGGAAGCAACATAGTTTAGTACATAACTTCATAGTTTCAAATACATTGCCGATCCGAGTCATGTCCCACAAAAGCATTATCAGTGCACGAGAACTAGTAGAGACCGCTACTAACGGTCTAATCTTCATCCCCAAAGCAGAGGAGAAGGCAAGACTTGCAAAGAACCAAAGAAGAACCGGTCATCTCAGCAATGTGGGAAATAAACCACGAGTACGAGAAGGTACTCACTAGACTTACCCGACAAAAATCGAAATAAACGACACCAAGGATCATGCAAGGCTTTTCGGTGGGCTAGCTTGACACGGTTGCATAAAAGAGCTTATGATTATAGTAACCAATTTAAACTGATTATCAAGCTTATCATTAATTACTCCGTCCACTAGATTAGCTTTTTTGTACTAGAGCACTCACTTATTAGGAGCAAACAATATTAACCATAGCAGGTATCATAAGGCTATCATCATCATATCATCATTTCCGAACCATTAAGATATTAAGTGTATCTACATTGGAGATAAGCCCGTCAAGTTCTCACTAACCGGGAGAGACGGCGATTCGAATCGAATTACAACTCGGTGAGGGGTATTCCTAACTCTCACCCCGGCATACTTTGCAAGGGTAGCCGTGGGTCACCTTTGGAACATCTCAGAACCAAATTAAGCGGGTTCGATCGGCGCCAACATTCTCGTGGATTACCCTTCCGCCAGACGATCAGGACTTTTAAATCACCGCCTTGGACTCACGCCACGGCTCCCTTCCGAGGCGCACTTTATACTTATCGACTCCCGGCCTGAGGTGAGCTACTCGGCCGTGGTCGGTCTCCGCATCCGGCCAACTAAGAGAGAGGCATGCGCTCAACATGAACAGAAAGGCTCCAAGAATCGGTCCTTAAGCGACACGACGGAGTCATCGCAAACCGGCAAGCCTCCGTCGGGTCTTCATTTCAAATTAAGACCGGTTCTTTTCCACGATAGCAAATATAGCCAACCGTGCCACCAGATCATCCTATATCTCGCAGTGACAGGAAATCACCCGACTTCTACCGCATTGATTTAAGGTGGCTAAGCACTACTCGAGCCGGAGCTACATAGGATTCTGTGGTAACAATATCCGGACAAGGAATGGGTAACCAATGCGACAAGTGTTTGCATCCAACACCTAAACTTAATGCAACAATATATATATATGTAACAATAATATCAGAATCGCATTTCGGAAATTAGGAGGCTTAATATGCTCAGGGCTTGCCTTTCACAAAGTTGCAAGGACGGTGGTCAGGGCACTCAACGGCGACCTCGTCGGCACTTCTCCCAGGAAGGTCGCTCCTCCGAATCTCCGGTGTCGGTAATTTGCTCGCTTTCGCTCGGTTCCTCAATTCCAGCAGGTTACTCTTCCGGTACACCTATTGCATGTCGATGCACAAGATAAATATCATGGATACATAAGGAATGACATGATGCTCATGATGAATGAATCACAATGGGTGTTTACGAAAACATCTTTGGACACTCGTTCATCGAGTAATTAGCTCTATTCAAATCACTTTAAGCATGTATCCAACTTAACTTAAATAACAAGAGCAACTTACCTAACTTGCATAACCTAAGATAAAGATGCTCATCTTCAGTTAAAGGCCTAACACCTAGGAACAGTACCATGAACTTAGAATAGTAAAGACATACTTAAAATAATGATTAAAGCTTCATATGCAACAAGTAGTAACTTAATTCTATCATAACCAGAGTTTTATAAATCCAAATGACTTGCAAGAAGACATTCTGGAAAGCTTATGAAATTCTCTACAATTCATTTGTAAACATCAAGGCATGATTCTGAAGTTAACCAAATCAATTTCCAGTAGACCTAGAATCTGTCAGAATGACGGGTTGCTAACTTAATTATTTAATGATGGTGCAAAAGCCTAATTTGACCAAACCAAGTTTACCAACTTGTTTTTCATATCTTAGAAACATCATAAGGTATAGTGCTAACTTCTAAATAAATTATTTAATATCCTTTTCCCATTTATTTAGTTAATTAGGTGATTTAAGCAATATATAGTAAAACTATTCATAAAAATCTACAAAAATTACAGTAGCTATCTCATGCTGCACATAGGCTACCATAAAAATTTCAAAGCCATTGGACCAACATAACTTGCTGTATCCAAAATAACAGATGACATGTCTATTTCTAGCATAATTAGGAAACCTTATTAAAAAGTGTCAAGCAACAGATTTCCCATTTTTCCTAGCATCCTCCTAGCATAAGAATAGAACCCATAAAATTTCACCTTCACTGGATCTATAGAAAAATTATGAAAATTCACACAAGATCCACCTATTAATAAAAGGAAATTCTATAACTTAAAAACTATACATGTACTAGCTCTAAAATTTTTACCAGAGCTTCACATCAGCAATAACAGACTGCCCACAAAATTTCATAATTTTTGGACCACAGAAACGCAAGATAAAATTCAAACAAGTTTGCATGCTTCTAAAAACACATTTCAAACTCCTATTTAATTCATCAAATTTTTCTAAAACATGTGCTCATATAATATTTTTGTTAAATACTAGACATGACCAGGAACCTAACAAAATTAGAACCATAGCATTAGGATCTATATACAAGGAAATACGTATTTTTGAATAACAACCCAAATCTGTGAAATAATAAAGCAAAACAAAATAAGAAAACAACTTTCAGCCGCGGTTGGGCCAGCCCAAGGAACGGCGGCCCACGAGTACGCAGTCGCGGCCCAAGACGACGGCGCGACCCAGTGTGCTCCCGCCGAGCGCGTCAACGGCTGACAGGGCGGACCCGCGTGTCAGCGAGAGAAGCAGGGGAGAAGCGACGGCCGGTGGCGTAGCTCGCCGCCGGTGGCTTCTCCGGCGAAGGAAGCGGTGTTCACGTGCTCGTCTCATCCTAGCGGACCTAGGGGAACCCTTACTCGCAGCGATTAACGCAACTAAGAGAGGTGGCGATGGCCACGCGGCGGCGCTCGATCATGCACACGGCCGGCTCCGGCGAGGCCATGGCGTCTCGGCCCTAATGGTCGGCTCCACGAGTTTCAGTAGGGTCCACAGAAACCAGCGCAAGGGGGAGAAAGAGAGGGAAAGGGCTTGAGCAGCACGGCCACGCGCGTGCTCGGTGGCAGCGGTCATGGCGACCCGGTGGAGCCGCCTACGCGGTGAGCTCTACCTGGCGAGAAAAAGCGACGACGGTGAGGTCTCTGATGTGGAGGAACACACGTCGGTGCTTTGGCTGGGAGCAATCGGACCAAGGCACGCGGTGGGGCTGGATTTTTTTTTTGGCTCGGCGGCTTTGGCGTTCAAAAGCAGAGCGACGGCGAGAGCGAGAGGGGGCGAAGAAATGAAAATGGCACGACGAAAGTGCGGGGCGGGCAAAGCGGGCGGCTTCAAGGCGCTGCTGCGTCGCCAGGACGTCCACGACGCGTGGCCTACGCGACAGAAGGCCGGCGACGGGTGGAGGACACGCGGCGTCAAGCTTCTACGCCGGTCGGCCATGACGGTCACTGAATCATTTTTCAGAAACGCGATTCAGTCGCCCATTGCCCCGACTGACAGAGCATGTTTGACGACGATTAACTCCAAACCCGTGACGATCTAGACTACGCCATAGTTAACAAAGTTGATCATCTATATGTGAACTACAACTCTGTCCGTTGGAGCTCGAGCTGGTTTGGCTTGGTTAAGGAGATACACGGCTCCAAACATTGGTACCCAAAGCGTAATTCACTTTAGGACTTAGAAAAATTTCTTTGAGTATGAATCAGCATGTACTTCTGACTTGTGGAGCATGTTTGACCATGTTCTAGACCTTTTCATGAGTTGACCATAAAACAACTTTTGTTCCTTGATAAATTAGCTACAACTTTTGTAAAGAGTGCACAGCCATGCAAAGCTTCTAAGTTGGACTTTTGAATCAGTCAAATGATGACACTCCAAGGGTCAATTCAAGTCAAAATAGCACTTGAGGGCATTTTGGTCATTTTGATCTACATGAACAATGTTCCAACAAGTAAACTAAGTATAGTTAAGGTGTATTAGACCATGATCAACCATTTTACAAAGTTGTTATACCTCTTCTCATGATCACATGTGATAAAGAAAGTAAAACAAGCAATTCATACATATGTTTCAATACAATGTTCCACATGTTGCGTGACCTTGTTGTTATACTATACTTGTCACACTACTACCCCCTGTTGCCATGCTTCAAGACATGGGAAATTCATGTTTCATTGTTATGTTGCACTACTACCATTCAGTAAACAATCTAGTCTGAAACAAAGCAGAATATATGAATGTTTCATATGTATGTTTCAGTGGAAAATGACATGATGAGATAAATGATGCACATGTTTATGAGATTTAATTGCAATAAGTGAAGCCAAACACCGAGGGTGTTACAGCCCTCCCCTTAGAAAAATCTCGTCCGAGATTTGGAAAGCGTACCATTTAGTATAGAAAGTTGGATGATTTTCCTTTAAATAATCTTCCCGCTCCCAAGTTGCATCCGTTCACTATGATTACTCCAAACTACCTTGTATAACTTAACCACTGGTATACGAAGTCACTCTTTCTTGAGTATCCGAACTTGCACGGGCTTTTCCTCATAAGAAAGATCAGATTTCAAGTTGACTTTTACGGTTGCTATTCTTTCCTCGAGAATACGAAGACACTTCTT